CCGCACTTGTCCACCGCGTCGACGTACTCGGCCCTGGCGTGCAGCTCGGCCACCGACAGATATCGGGCCGGCAGCGCCTTCAGCAAAAAGGACAGCTCAGCAAGCTGACGGGCCGTGTCGGCTGCCGTCATTGGCGAGATGTCATCGAGTGGGGCTGGCTGGTCATGCGGAGAGACACTCATTTGTGTGTGTGTGTGTGTGTGTGTAGTGGGCGGGCGACAGGCAGAGCGAGAGAGTTGTGTCTCGGCAGCACATCGATCGCATACATGTGTCTGTGTATTTATTGTACACCCGGCGAAAGAGGGAGGAAAGAGACTATGTATGCAGCAGAGCCGTACAGGCCAGTCATGGGTGTATTCATGGTTTGCAGAGTGAAATGTGCACGTGAGCAATATGCAGAAGGCAAAGCAGCAACGCGACAAGGTCATTCCCAGCAAGGCGAACAATGCGAACAATCCCCAGCGCACACCACACGTGCAGTGCCTCCCACACACACTCGAAGCAAAAGAACGCAACAGGACGTCGAAAAGGTCGACAAAACACACAGACGTACGCACAGGCATGTTTCAGACTCACACAAGTGCTGATGTTGCTTTGCTTCCGCTGTCCAGGCAGGCGGGCTGCATGCACTGCATCATTGTGTGCGGATTGAAAAGTACTGGTCAGCGTGCAGAGGACAGACAGACAAAGCTGCTCACGGTGAGGCCTTTCGCATCTGGTCGATGTGTAGCTCTATCTCACACACAAACTGCGCACACCCACACCCAGACACACAGATGGATGAGGCCGGCTGGTGGACTGGCATTGGTCCGTGCGTACATTGTCAATGTCCTCGGCGTGCTTGACGCGTCTTTCACGGAAGAACTCGGACAGCTCCCTCACAAACTCTTTGTCGTGCGGCTCAACACGCTTCGAAGACGGCTTCCGCATGTGCTCGAACACGGGCTCCAACACACGCTCGTACGCTGCACCCCACCCATACACACACGTCAATTCACAAATGCCTGTGCTTGTGTGTTTGAATGGGGCGAGTGGGACAGCTGTATTGCCGACCGTTTGTGATGGGTAGTTTTGGCTTGCCGCGCATGGTTCTGGACCACATGGCGGGCGACGACCCGGTGGCCCTGCTGCTCGATGAGCCGGCTGCTTCCACACGAACCTGCGGCACACCCGGCTCGCCCATCCCCATCGCTGTGCAGTCGAGGTAGGCAAGAGACGCATGTGTTAGCGCCGGTGCATGTGGATCGCTATAAGGCTTCCTACCCAGGTTCATTTCCTTTGCAAACTCCCCCGCCACTTCTTGGCTCGTGTCGGGGTTCCACAAATAAGACGACTCCTCTGTCTGCGGCAGCACACCTAGACACATGCATACACGCCAGGTCAGACACGTGTCTCCAATGTACGTGTGTATGTGTGTATATCGACCAGGCTCGCTGGGCCGAGCCCCGCTGGCCGAGATGGCCCTGTGGTAGATGCTGTCAGGCTTGGGGCTCTCCTGCACGCTCGACTCGAGCACGGATGCCAGCTCCTGAGATTCTCCCCGGGTCATCCGCTTTCCGGGAGCCTCTAACGCGGCACCCTCGCCGCTCTCGCCCTCTATGATAGAATGGTCCGGCTCATGATGGTTGCCGGGGTGGCCCGCGACAACCATGGCGCCAGGCATGCCGCTGGGCTCCTTGAGCGTGCCTGTCCGCGATGGCGTCGGGGTGATGCCCGTGAAGTCCCACTCGCTGATGTTTGATATGCTGTGGAAGGCCCGCTCGCTGCTCGGCTGGGACGACTGGGCCGGCGGCGGGAGCGGCGCACGTGAGCCCGAAGCGGGCGAGTGCGAAAGGGAATCAAGCGCCCGCAGGGGCACCCGCGCTGAGGCGTCGTACAGGCCGTCCAAAGAGCTCCCTGGGGGCAGATACGCGAGACAAGGGGGGATCAGTTCAAGGGGTGGTGCCCGTCGATGAGTGTAGCCTGCCTACTTTGGATGGAGGAGCCGCCCCCTTCGTCCCCTGAGCTCGGGGCGATCTTCGAGCTGTCTTGCGGAGCCTTGACGATCGTACCCACTGAAGGTCCGTCCACCCACACAGATATAGATGTTGTGCGTGTCCACGTGTCTCTCTCTCTCTCTCTGTGTGTGCTGACTTCCGTCGTTGCAGTGGTCTGCAAATGCCTCGGCGTCGACACGTCTCTGCTGCTGCTGTTCTTGCTGTCTCTCCTGCTGCTGGCGGCGGTCCTTGAGTTGCCATGCGAAGAATCTGTTGTTGCCAGACATGCTCTGGCCGTCGATATGCATCCGACCCACATCTGCACTCATGGAGAGATAGATTACGATGCATACCAACCGGGTAAGTGACGAGCGAAGAAGCGCGGACCCACCTTCCCCCTTTCTGTAGTTGGGGATGATCTTGTAGTCTTCGGGGCGAAGCTTCTTCTCCTGCAAGGAAGGACAGACATCTGTCAATCTGCAATGTGTCCTCCGGCAAACGTGTTTGTCCCTCCGTACGCTTGCATCGTCGCTCGATGAGGACGGGGCAGAGGGCGTACCTACCGAACGAACGAACGAAAGGATAAACGAAAACTTCGTCGGCGTGTGCGTCCTTGCGTACGAGTCTTGTTCTTTGCGCTGCACACACCACACACACACAAGACACATGGCATCATCAAGCGATTGCACAACGCTGCGTGAAGCTCTTGTCGACGACTCACTCGATGTCTTTGATCATGTCCTCGGTGCTCGTGTATTTCTTGACGTCTGGACGAAAAACACAACGACGCAGCAGCGACACTCTGGTGAGGTCGCTTGGTGGCCGACTTGGTGGCATTCTGCTCACTTCGCAGGAAGGCGTGTTTGAGCAGCTTAGCTGCCGTCGTGCTGACAAAAGATGTGCATCCATGCATCCACCAATTCGTCCATGTGCGTGTGAGCAATCAATGGGACCGTACCGTTTGTTGGGTTCGCGCTTAAGACACTCGTGAACGAAGTCACGGAGCACCCTGCATTCATACATGTCGGACGGAGGCAATCAATGCATGTAGTCGTCGCTCAGTCTCTCTTGCTCACTCAGTAACTCACTTGCTGGCCGAGTCGGGCAGTTTGCAGTCCTTCTCAACAAAGTCTTTCGACCGCGCAATGTACACCAACACCTGCGGTGGGTTGTAGGCCAACCGGCCAATGACGGGTGGCTGGTTTGCTGGGAGAGGTGTGTCTGCGGGTTACCTTGACAGGGTTCTCGTCGGCGAGCGGCGGGTCCCCCGTGGCCATCTCGAACATGGTGATGCCGAACGACCATATGTCGGCCTTCGAGTCATACGTCTGACCGCACAACACCTGACCATCCATCCATCCATCAACAGGCATACATACATATAAGGATTAAATGATTAAGTGAGTGCAGGCAATGAACGACCCATGGCGTCGCGTACCTACCTCTGGTGCCATCCAATAGGGTGTCCCGACAAAGGTGCGGGCCTTCTCTAGATTGGCTGCCAGAGAAGGGGGGCAGGGCAGGTGTGTCTTTCTCTCTGCGTCTACACGTCGTCAGTCATGTGGCCATACTTTGCAGCTCGTGCGAGACGCCAAAGTCAGCCAGCTTGACCCGAGCCTGCGTGTCGAGCAGGATGTTGGCCGCCTTGATGTCGCGATGAATCTTTGACTGAGCCGGGCTGGACAAACGCACACAAGAAACAAGGGACAACTTCATTGCTTGCCTGCCCTGCGTACTGGCGTGTGTGCGTGGCGACCTGTGTAGGTAGACGAGCGCCTCCAGCGTGTCTTTGGCTATGGCAGCCAACACCGGCTCCGGCAGCGGACCGTGCTTCCGAATCTGCAGCAGCAGCAGCAGCAGCAGGCAGACGACAACGTGTTAGTCTGAGCTGACTGTGCGTGCCATGCGATAGCGTGTTTGTGCTGACGATGTCTCTGAGGGATCCGCCGCCGAGGAACTCCATGATAATGATCAAGTGAGCATGGTAAGTGAAGGACTCAATGTACCTTTGTGGGACAGATGGCCAGCGAGGAAGACACACACAGACAGATAGACATAGAGGAGAAAACAAACAGCGAAAACAGCCAGTCGTGTCTCTCGTCTGACACTTCTGGTTCCCTGTCTGACTTGATGATGTTTTGGTGGTTGCACTTGGAGAGCACCGAGATCTCGTTCCTCACTTGCTCCAACGAGTCGGTGTCCTTCATGACGTTGTCGCTCATGTCCTCCAAGTCCACCACCTTCAACGCCACCGTCGGCAGGCTCGCCTCACCTGACCCCTCAGCCGACGCCACCTTGGCCTCGTACACGCACCCGAACGCACCCTCACCCACAATCCGCTGCACTATGTAGGTGTTCCTGAAGCCCTTGAGCTCGTCTCCCGGCTGGTAGCTGTTGGCCCGTACACGAGCCACCTGCGGCACCTGCCGACCGCGGCTCAACGGACGGGAGCTCGACTGAGTCTCTGACATTGATCAGATGTTAACACGCTGCTGGCTGGGCTGCTGAAAGGGGAGGAGGGACAGGGAAGGGAGGGTCGCTGTCTTAAGAAGACACAACACGGAAATGCATTTCTTATGCGCGCGTCATCTTCTCCTCTCACCGGACGATGTTCGGGGAATCTCCTCCGGGTCGCCTGGGGGCGAGACGGGGGCCCACCAAACCCGGAAAGCCGAACCCTGGCGACTCCATCGCAACAACGTTCGCAACACAGAGGTACATGTCGTTCATGGTTCATGGATGGATGTGCACATCTGGATGCCTGATCTATCGCTGGTGCTGTGTGTGTCGTTCATCAGGTCACTGGCCACCATTCCAGATGCAACGGCTCGATAGAGGAAGCCTACGCAACCGTCTCGACGCGCAGCGGCTGTTCGGCATCTCGGAGGGCCTGGCGGCCATCCAGGGCTCGTCGGTGGCTAAGGGATGCCTGTCGGGGTATGCCTGCTTCCGCAGCCACGAGTTGGGCGCCCAGAGGATAGCCGCCAAGGTGGACAGGGGCGAAGTGACGGCCGAGGAAGATCGGGCCATGGGAGCCGTCATGGGATTAATCGTCGGCGACGCACTCGGAGCACCTCTAGGTGGGTCGGTGGCGGGGTGGGTGAGGGTCAGATACCGACCGACACGGACACGGTCTGACCAGAGATCTCACCCACGCTGCCTTTTTTGTGTGGTCATGGTGTGCGCATTCCCCCAGAGTTTTGTGATGTGTGTCATGCCGGCGACGCGCGCACCGACTCCATCCCCGACGTGAGCGGCTTCAGCGACACTGCCGTGTGGGAGCACCCCAGATGCAACAAGTTTGAACTCAAACCAGGGTGAGAGACAAGGCGAGGCGAGGCAAGGGCGCGTTAATGTCATGTTGATGAATGGCTTGGTTGGTTGGTTGGCTGGTTGGTGCATGCAGGCAGTGGACAGACGACGGCTCCATGGCGCTGTGTCTGGCCGACAGCCTGCTGCTCCACGGCGACTGGAACCCCCGGGACGTCCGCCACCGGTTCATCCTATGGTGGACATGCGGGTACAACAACGCTTTCGGATTCGACGCGCCCACCGACCACTCTGGCGTCCTCGCCCCCGCCCCCGCCACCAGCCAGGCGGCCGAGGGCAACACGGACAGCGACTCTTCCCCCTCGCTGCGCCACCAGCAGCTGCCGCGGAAGCGTCGCCACATCAACAGAGAGGGGCGCGGCAGCGTGGGTCTGGGTGGCAACATATCGTTGTCGCTGCGGGAGTTCATGCGTGAGGGTGGGCGTGAGGGCTACACGAAGGAGGGGGACGAGCGGACGTCGGGCAACGGGTCGCTCATGCGCCTCGCTCCAGTGCCCGTCTGCTTCCACCGGGACCTCTCGAGGGCCATGGAGGTCGCACGCCTCTCCAGCCTCACCACACACCAGGTATGTGTTGTGCACTCAGACAGTCATCTATCTGCAACCATTCATCCATCCGTTCTGACTCATGCATGCACGAGTGTTCGTTCGTGTGTCGGTCAGGGCATCGAGGCGTCTGACGGCTGCCGTTTGCTGACTTACCTGATAGTCCGGGCCATCCACGAGCAGCCCACCGACGCACAGGTCTTCCTGCGCCCAGACCACATCACCACCCCCCTCACAGACCCCTCCACCGGCAATGAGACGCTCCCCGGCTTCGACGCTACGGCTGTGTGCTACAGCGTGCAGTGTTTGGCTCTTGCGCGTGCCGAGGAGCGACACGCCGACAATGGGGATCTACCACTGGAGGAGAGGAACTGGGAGTGGACCCATGCCAGATACCGGTACGTACGTCACTTGCGAAAAAAGAGAGGAAGGAAGGAGGCGGGAGAGAGACGACTCATACACGCATCCAATGGATGGATGTGTGGGTGTCATTCTTTCTTTGTGTGTGTGGTGTGGTGCAGGTATGCGGCTCGGCGCGCTGCGGATCAGCCTGGGTATGTGGGCAGCTACGCCATGGACGCCCTCTCCATGGCCCTCCACTGCGTCTACACAACACGGTGAGGGAGGAAGCGATGAGAACGGAAGGACACACCATGCAAATGGCCTCCCACTGTCTCTCTGTCTCTCTGTCTGTCTGTCTGTCTGTCTGTCCTTTCGTCATCAGTAGTTTTGCGGGTGCGGTGCTGAAGGCGGCGAATCTGCGCGGCGACTCGGACACGGTAGCGGCCATCACAGGGCAGATCGCAGGCGCCATCTATGGCATCACCAACGTTCCCAAAGACTGGATCGCGGCTGTAGAAAAGTAGGTAGGCCGACCCAAGGACGACAGACAGACAGACTGGCACATGATAGCTGCATGTCACCCACTGATGCGTCCGTCATCCATCCATGTATGTATTGATCCATCCATCCATCAGGTGGTCTGGTGGCACCGGCTTCCTGCTGGCTCGTGCCTATCATCTGCACCACCGACTGGCCGCCACCCCACCAGCCGACCCGCCCCTGGTGCTGCCCACCCCCTCCACACACGAGGCCCCACCGAACCGAGAGCACAACGCCGCTGTCCATCCCTCCGTCCACCACACGGCCCACCACCACGTGGGAGTGACGGCACCCATTCTGCCCTGCACGGCCGGGCCGGAGCCTCAGGGCGACAGACGAGGCGCACTGAGGAGTAGAGAGGATAGATTTGAGGGGCTGTGAGCGCAGGCACAGTAGCAGGCTAGCTTGGGTTGGCAGGGGGCTGGATTGAGTGGGTGGGGGGTTGGTTGGCTGGGTGGGTGGAGGGGTGTGGTGTACAGCCGTGTGCAGATAGATCGATGGATAGCTGGACAACGGGATGGATCGATGGTGGAAGGAAGGAGGGTGTAGATGCGCGGCAGAAGACGTTATTGGTTTGGGTGCCCTGAGAGTAAACGACTCGATTCTTCTATTCCGTCATACAACGCTCCGCACACGCACGAGACCCACAGTGGTGTTGCTTCTAACTTTCTTTGCCGCAGACAAACCACAGGCAAAGGACAACTTCGCTCCACACTTCAAGCGGTACTGGTCGCGCGATCTACGGCCCCCATGCGCGCCAGCGGGCCCCCTTTTTAGCACCGTCCGTCTCACCTTTCGTCTTTTCCTTGGGCACAGCATGTGTGTGCTCTTCCTGTATCTCCTCGTAGTGTTATTCATTCATGTCACCCGAACTGCGACCTTCTCACGATCCCTCATCTCCGTTTCCCCCCAAGTGCTCGAGAATGCCAAGACACCCCTCATGTTTAGCCACCACGTCTTCGACGTCCTCCTCCCGCCAGCCGGGCTCACCCCTGCAGAGAAGCTGGCCGTCATCCGCCATGCGCTGGCAGACAAGATGCGCGGCCCTGGAGCCCCGCATGCCACTAAGGGAGGCGCTGACGGCTTCGTCGAGCTCGGAGAGGGGCATGGCGGCCAACGAACGACCTCCTCGCTCTGGCGGCCCGTCACAGCCACTGCAGATGGCTTCGTTACGGTGCCCTTTGCTGTCAACCACACCGGTGCGTCTGGTCGGGGAGAGAGCAGCATGTTGGGCCTGAAGGAGGTCAACCGGCGGCTGGGGCTGGTCCTCTATGATGCCGACAGTCGCTCTGCAGCCACTTTCAGACAAGACAAAGAGGCCGCACAGAGGCGACGGCAGGAGACGAGCAGCCGTGATCACGTGATTGGCCCCGGTGAGGTGCCGTCTGTCGGTGGGGGGTGCTGAGGGAGGCGCCAACAGTGGGTGGGCATGGACGCGGTTCAGAGTGCTGGACAAGGGCACCTTCAATGTCCACTGTGCCGGCACCCCCACATTCTTCATTGTAAGCCTCATACCCACACGGGACATGGACACACACAGAGAGAGAGCAAAGACAACTGCATGACATGGCCCGCTGGATGTATCAATCTGTCTGTCGATCAGGACGGAACCTCCTATCGTGGTGAGTCTTCCTTCCCCCACGCTGCGGGGCCTGCCTCCATCTCCCAGTTGGATACGCCCTCGTCGTCTTTTGCTTCCCTGTCTGCCTTCCGGAGCCTCATATGGCCCATCGTGTTGGACCCCGGCATGCACACACTACTCGTCAGGCTGGCCCCACCACCCACCATGGCATCGGATGGCGGCCCACCGGCTCGCTTCCACTGCAGCTTCCTCCCGCCCGCCGCCCCGCTGCCCTTCTCCTCTATCCAGGTGGACTCGGGGGCAGCAGAAATGGCCAGCGGCGAGCGGATGGCGGCGGGGGGTGAGGAGGGGCTTCGTGTGCCGACGCCGGGTGACAGTGATCCCAACTGGAAGGCAGACCACTCATGGAGACCGGTAAGCCAGCCAGCCAGCCAGCCAGCCAAGGAGACGTGAGACATTCATTGGACGGGGGTACCAAATAAGGTGGTCTCTCGGTGTTGCTTGCGCGGCTCGTCTGTACGGTACGGTACGGTACGTGTGTTTTGTAGGGTGAAGTGCACCACATGCCTGACATAGTGGATGGCGTTCTGCCAACTCCCCTGGCGTCGATACCCATAGTCAATCCGAGTATGTATGTATGTATGTACATTCATACAGTCTTGCACACCACACCACACCCAACACTTTTTCCTTGCTGACAGCTTTCTTCGTGTGCCGTCTGCCTTGCGCATAATGCAGCATCGTCTCCCGTCACAGACTTCAAAGTTGAGTTCCACACCCCCCGGGCCGTCTTGAGGCGGCACCACAGCGTGCCCGACACGGAGCACCCCGGCAAGACCAAGGACGAGTCGTCACTGGAGGCTAAGCCCATCCATGATCAGACGCCCATTCTACAGGACCCCTCCCGCCCTCTGCTGTCGGCCACATGGCTGCCGGCCCTCAAAAGCGACAAAGACCGCTGGACCGCTCCCGTGCTGCCGGGCCAGTCCTTCCCTCTCTACATGCAGCTGACATGGAACGGGGTCAAGCCCCGACGGCTGGAGGCCGCTGACATGGCGGCGGGGGACGGGTCTGCCACGGACAAGGGCATATGCTCGGGGGCCCTGTATGGGGAGAAGGATGACCCAGAAGTGATTGAGATAGACGCCAGGATCACCGGCAACTTCCGGGACAGTGTGAGCCGGCCCGCAGCTGAGCACACGGTTGTCTTGCGGTGCAGGAGTTTCGCTCGTCGGGATCCCTACATATTCACTTATCGCGACGTCGACGGGGCTGTCGAGTACGCCGCTGTCAGACCCCCGAAGAGGAGATGCAGGAAGGGGTTGCAACACCAGGCAGCTTTATCTGACACCCTGCTGTCTCCTACTGGCCCTCTCCTCAAGGGCCAGTTTGGCTTCGACTGGGAGGGCGCAGGACTCGCCAACGCCGTCACGGCCATACACGCCTTCCAGCATCTAATGCCAGGCAGGCAAATATACATGTATGTATGTATGTATGCATGTACATGAACCCAACAGCACGGCCTGGTGTGGTGGGGTGTGGGGTGGTGTGGTGTCGCGAAGAATCAAGGACGGACGTGTATGGTATGGTATGGTTCCTTCAGGTGTGCCTGACCCCTTGCGTGAAGAGTATGTGCCCGACACGTCGCGGTTGGTCATCACGGGCCACTCGATGGGGGGACACGGCTGCCTCGTATTCTCGTAAGCGACAATCAATGGAGCCACTCCGAGCCAGGCGTATTAGCTGTCCGATGTATCTTCTATCTATCTATTGTTCGTGCCCTGGATGCGATGCAGGACCCACTTTGCTGACCACGTGGTGGGGTCAATGTGTGGAGCTGCATGGATCAAGGTGCACTACAACACCCACTCACAGACAGACAGAGAGGCGTGCAGACAGACAGACAGACAGACACAGAAAGACAGGACCCCTTGCCTGTGATTCATCAAATCATCGGTGTGGCAGATGAGCACTTACAGTGGGGGATATTCCCCTGCTGGCCAGCAGGATGGCCAGGCGGACAAGAGGACCCGCCTGATGTCTTCGGGCGACAGCGAGTACGCCACGGACTTCGCCGCCGTCCACCTTGTGGGCATGCCTTTCATGGGCAGATGCGGAGAGAAAGACGACAATGGTGTGTGAGGAGCGGACAGCCGAGGAAGGAGACACACAGGACAGGCACACAGGGACGCATATGTATGTGTGTGTACGTGTGTGTGTACGTGTGTGTGTATGCGTGTGTGTGTATGTGTGTGCGTCAGTTCCCCCGGAGCATTTGCGTCGGTTCACTCATGTGCTGAGCAACAGCAACTTCGCCGAGCTGGAGCCGACGGCGGTGCTCTCGATGATGCTGGACAACTCGACGATGATGCAGTCGTTCCTCGAAATCAGCCGGCAGCCCTCCCTGCTGCAGTACTACACCGACCTCAAGGGCAACCTCGACAGACAAATACCACTCATCTACAGCCTGGTCACCCACCCAATGAGCACAATCGATCGATGCATCCCCCCTTGTCTCTATCCGTCTGTCTGTGTGTCTACAGAAAGCAGGGGAGAGCCACTGGTTCGGTGACTGGTTCGATGACCGCAAGACGGACAAGGTGGTGACGCCATTCATAGCAAGGGCCAGGGAATCCCCGGCCGGAGGGGCCTGCCAGGCAGGTGGCGTGTGTGGAGTGGTGGCCACCCATGGGGCACTGGCAGGGGCGGCATCATACTCATGCAGCCACATACATGGGGCCATGACGCCCTGGTCGATGCCGTCTTCCACAAGGGGCAGGGCGGCACCATGAGCTACGCAGTCGGCCAGAAGTTCGCCGACTGGCAGCAGCGAGACAGCAGCGACACCGGGGCATCGTCGGATCACCGCATGTCGGACGACGGCAGGCCGCCCCCGCCATTCTTCCCGAAAGTGGATGTCTGCATCTGTGGCGACTGCACACGACACAGTAACAATGACAATGGTGATGGCTGGGCGAACGTGACAGTGGCGGGCGAGAGCGATGGCGACCAGGACGCCCAAGAGAATGCGGAGTGGCACATCTGCCTCCGGACACACAATGTGCGACGGCTGGGGCTCAAACAATACTTCCCAGCACTGGTCCGTCCGTCTATAGAGGAGGGAGACACAGCCGGCCACACACACACACACACCGCTTTGCTTTGGTTTGGTCTCTTCCCTGCAGGTACTCAACGGCATTCTGACGCAGATGGGCGCACATCCGCTGACAAGACGAATGGGACACTTGTGCTCTACAAGGATGAGCGGGGAGGCAAGCCGACCTTGCCAGCACAGACACAGCAGCGACAAGGCAAGTCTGGCGGGGATCTTCTGTCATCATTCCGGGTGCACCTGCTCATTGACGGCCAGAGCGTTGCTCACGGTGTGCCCACTGACCAGTTGGGCCGCTTCACCCTTCCCTCACACCACCTCTGCTGCACACGGAAGCCGCAGGGCGGGTCGCAGTGCTTGTGGCGGCTGTGCGGGGGAATGGAGTAAAGGGACGCCGAGAGAAGCGACCGGGACAGCATGCTGCTCAAGCAGCTCATTGCTAGAGGACCGCTGGCTATCGTGTATGGCACCGGCAAGGAGACGCCTCGCAAAGAGGCATCGGAGATCGGCGCTGGCTCCTCGTCGCAACAACAAGATGGGTCGACTTTTCATCGGACGGCCCTCACAATGGCCAACTCTTTCTATGAGAGAGGGAGGTGAGCAAATACGGCCTGCCTGCCTGCCTGCGTCTCTGCATTCATTCGGTGGGGTGTCTGTCGATGGATGGGCAGGTTAGGCGTGTTGGTGCTTGACGATCAGACGGCCCTCTCCCGCCTCCCTGATCTGCACCAGCAAGGATACAACTTCATTCTGCTAGGCCACCCACGGGTCAACGCCCTCACGCAGCGAATCCACCCCGTCTCCACGATCGCAGCCGCCCAAGTTCTCTGACGATGGCTCCATCCAAATCGGTGACAAACAGTTCAGCTCACCCGGCATGGGCATATACGCGTCAGAAAGAGTCGACCTGGACAGAGTGCTTGCCACCGGCCGCCCGTCAGCCTACATAGAAGGAGAGGGCCATTTCCACTCCTATCATCATCAGTCGGGCAGGAGACGGCGAGTGGGTGACATCACTAGCACAAGTGGTGAGTTGAGGGTGAATGAGGGTTGGTGCGGCAGGTATTGCCGGCCGCGTGGGAGTTTGTTCATTATGGGTGCCGGCACCGACAGTGAGGGCACCCAGCGGCTGACCGGGGCTCTGCCCTACCAGCATGTGCGAGTCATGCCCGACTGGGGCATAGCTGGGGGACAGTGGGGCAGTGGCAATGCCACACAGGCCTACCGATACAGCAGCTACAGCCAGGGCGGCCTCACGTATTTTGGCTTCTGGGGACCCACATGGAACTACGACGAGACAGCCAGTGTGATGGACTGACTGACTGACTGATTGTGGGTGGCTGGACGGGTGGTTCATATTCACTCGTGGGTACATATGTGTATATATGTGTGTATACATGTGGTGTGTTGAGTGACTGACGAGTGAGAGGGACACGCTGCATGAGCGACATGACAGACAGTCGGTGATCTGATCGAGGGACTATTGATTCGATCGAATGATATCGACCATTGACAGTTAACTTACTTCCCAGCAGGAAAGGCACACCACACCGGGTCTTCCATCCATCCATCCATCCATCCCTCCCTCCATCCATCCATACGTCTCTCTGTCTGCACACAACATACAGCCCCACCCCTCCACTCCACTCCCCTCCCTCGCTCAGACACACACGCACACAACCAGGTGCCGTCGGTCCACCATTGTAGAGTCGGACAGCAGCCAGGCAATGACTGACTGGTCATCGGTGCCACCAGAAAGGGCGAACACAGGAACAACCAATGGTCCCTCTCTCTGTGTATTGACAGTGGCGTCGCGTGCACACCTCATCCCATCCCCCAGCCAGTAGAGAGAATGTAATGAGAGTGTGAAAAGACGCTGCTGTAGGCATGTGTGTGAGCCGCTCGGCGGGCAGAGAGGAGAAATGCGTTGGTTGTGCGTGGTTGGCAGGCAGACAGGCATGTGTGTGCGGAGAGGTAGAAGCCACATGTATGTGCCGTTGCACACATACAGCCACACACACACACACACACACACATTCTGTATGCTCATCCTGTCACACACACTCTCTCTCTCTCTCTGTGTGTGTGTGTGTGTTGTGTAGGCGCACCGTTCACTCACCACGCGTGTCTGTCAACAAACTTCCAGCGAACTCCCTAGTGGAGAGAAAAACGAATTGCTTCGGGCTAGCTACTTACCGCCATATACCTACCGTGGCCGCCGTGCCAACCTGCCTCTCCAATGGCACATAACACGAACACCAGAAGCTTGTCTCAACCAATACTAATACATGATTGCACCATACATGGCCTGTCTACCTCTCTGTCCCTCTGTCTAGACCACCGATGGATGACTCACGGCAACAAGTGGGTGGACGTGAGCCACACACATGCGCACATGAGTTAGGTCAAGCCTACCTAGGACGGCAGGCTGGCAGGCAGTCAGTCAGGCAGGCAGCAGGCACCTCATGCGCTGTCTTGTCTTCGGTGAGCAGCGGCCGAGGCGAGACGCCTGCCTTGCCCCCCCACCTTCCCACCTCTACAGTGATATACAGAGACGTGTACATAAACCTGCTGCAAATGTAATGTACCTACACGCATGCCATGCCATGCCATGCCCTGCACACAATTAGGAAACAGGCAGATAGAGACATACATACACACACCCATGCATGATACGCACCACCTCGCGTACTAAACGGGGAGAGGGAGGAGGAGGAGGAGGAGGAGGGAAAAGGAAAAGGGCGTGGACACACATATCACACAAACACATGGTGTCACGTCACACACCCCATGCACAAGAGACACCGACCGATAGATACCTGTGCTCGTATTGGGTCGGTCAGGGAGACAGACAGGGGAGAACGGGGAAATGAACAAATGCACACAGACGAACGGGCAGGAAGGAAGATATGATGAAGACAGGCAGACAGCATACAACAGGACAGGCACGAACCACAAATGAGAGAGGCGAAAGGTATGTGTGAACGTCAGTCAGTCACCGAACAACAGCGAGTCGAGCCAGTGACCTGCGACGAGAGTACGCACCGCACCTACCTGGGTGTGGTGTGCACTCACTTACACCACACCACAGCACACCACACCTGACGGACCCACGACACCATGCCATGCACACGCACAAACAAGCAATGTATCACACACCTATCGTGCACACGAACGAAGAGAGACAGTGAGTAAGTTAGTAGGAACGACCTCTCCGCCACATATCCATGACATACATACATACCTACATCACCATATATACCACACTGACTACCCTAGCTTGGCTACCCTCACTACACAAATGTATCAATCGCACCATTGATTGCCCCTTCTCCCTTCACACGAATGTCAGGTCCAGCTGTGGCGGGGCGGGCATGTCAACAAACCACTCCTTGCTGTGGTCGCTGCCCGCCCCCGCCCCCGCCCACGATATCGTGCAGGGGAGGGATACCGGGCCCTCGGTGGTGAGCTTGGCGTGGTAGAATGACAGCATGCTGCTGCTGACTGGAGGCGCGAACACAGCCAGGGGCAGAAGGTTGATGTCACCCTCGCCGCTCACAGCCCCCCGGACACAAGAGGGCTCATCCACCACCTGTGCAGCGCATGGCATTGCGTCGACACGCACACAAATGCATCTGTCCATCCACCCATTCTTCGTGTGGGTGCTTCGTCTCTCTCCCCTTGTCCATGTGTGAGACCCACCTCACCTGTTGCTGCTGCTCCTGTTGCTGCTGTGGTTGTTGTCTTGTGTTGTACGTGTAGGGCACAGCGTGTGGCGGCACGCTGTACTGGCGATGCTGCACCACCAGCCGAGACCTGCTGCTGCTGCCATCCACCAAACCCTCCCCAGCACCGAAGCCCTCACTGCTGGGGGAGCTGGTCGTGGTGGTGCTGCTGGCGGCCTCTGTGTCGTCAGCGTCGGTGCCGCCACACACAGGGGAGAGGGAATGGGGCACGGAGAAGGGTGGCGGGGTGGACGACCGGCTCCGAGAGAGGGGTGGAGGCTGATGGACGGCCTGATGGTTGACAGACGGACGATAGGCAGACAGACAGCAGAGCAGAGAAAGAGAGACGCACATTAATGAAGTCGTGCATGCGATGCTCGCTGGGTGTGTTGTTTGGTAAACCATCCGTGTGCGTACGTTACGTACGTTGGCTTTGTCGTGTGTGCCGTAGAGGAGCCCGTCGCCGTAGAAGAGGCGACAGAAGCACTTGAAGGGGGCCACTGCCAACAACTTGCTCATCTGACAGACAGATGGAACACACACACACACACAGACAGACAGACGGAGCGCACGCACACATGGGTGGGCACACGTCGGTAGACAGACGTTCGATTCATTCGCCGCACCTGAGCATAGCCGAACGCCTGATGGTCTAACACAAAGTTGTGCCTGCACACGGACACGTTCACACACAGAGAGAATCAGGCATGCCGCTCCCTCCCCCCCTCCCTCTCCGTTCTCTCCAATCCTTGCTCACTCCTTGCGCAGTTTTTCCCTCAGCTGACACAGCAAGATGCCCTTGGGGTGCTCAGCCAGCATCTCCTCCAGCACGCTGGCCGCATGCAGCAGCTTGGGCGTCGGCACACACTCAGCCTGGCAGGATACACCGCCATTGCCACCACCACAATCGTCAGCGCCAGCAGCGGCCATGAGAGGGAACGCCGCGCGTGTGGGTCCGTGAGCAGCCGCAGTTGGCTTCAGAATGCTGTTCGTCAGTCAACACCACAGAACACACAGAAATGTTGCTTGCAGCCATCGATGCAGGCCTGTGGGAATGTATCCTCTGTTGTGTGTCACGCCGTGTGGGTCAGTCAGTTGACTTACTTGTCTTCGTAAGTGAGGATGCCCTTCTTGATGGCCTGCTGCGTCAGTCTGCAGACGTGCCCCAGCGTCATCGGCCGCCCGTACAGCACACCCATGTCGCCCAGGCAGGGCATGTGCTGCCGCACCAGCCTCTGCAGCAAGACCCACGCCTCGCCCGCACCCACCCCGGACGGCGGCTCGCACTTGCCATTGCTAGTGCCTTTGCCACTGCCCTTGCCCCTGGTGCTGTTTGCTGCAAACAGCGCCATGATCTCATAGCCAGTGCCGTAACGGCCCCCCTGACAGACACAACCAACACACAGAGAAGGGGATAGAGGTGGATGGGATGGATGGGCGTCAGTCATATGTCTGTAGGTGTGTCGGTATGCATACGCCCACTAAGTTACTTTGTATTCGTAAAGGTGCAGGTCGGCGACGGGGTGGCGTGTGATGGCAGCGTACGGTGTGGTCATGAGTGCGGTGAAGAAGCCGATCAGCTGCTGCCACACCACGGCAGGGTACTCGTAATCGGCACGTGGGTCCACAAAACCCTCAAAACCTGCAGATAACGACAGACAGGCATACACAACGCCTTCGCTCCCTGTGTGTCATGTGTGCAGGCTTGTGTCGGTGCTTGCATCACCTTGTGGTGGTTCAAGGAGGTAGACGACAGCCTGTCCATTCTTGTCGCCGCGCCTGACGCTGTAGACGCCCCTGAAGAGGGAGTAGGCCTGACACAACCAACACACAGAGCCAGAGAGGTGGATGGATGGGCGTCAGTCATATGTCTGTATGTGCACCATGATGATCCTCCGCTCCAGGTAGGGCGGCACCTGCAGGCCCCGATGCTGGTACGCCTCCCTCACACGGCGACACACCTCGCTCTCGCCGGGCGGCGTCTCGTCCGCGTACATGCCGTTGACTGCTTCGAGAAGCAGCTGAAGCAAAGACAGACAGACAGACACCCGTACACACACACAGCTGCGTGGACACTGACCGGTGAGAAGTGGTGTTTGTTGGCTTACGCCCATGTCGAAGAGTGTGAGTTGTGCGCGCAGCAGCTCCCTCTCTATGGCCTGCCCTCGCCGCACAGGGAGCCCCGACACATGATCTGACAAAAGACCAAAACAGACGGCTGCAGGTCTGGCAGCTTTCTGTTCTGTTGTCTTACCCAGGCAAGAGGCAGCAGGCCTCTGACGCATTGCAAGGCCCCTACTCGTCATCTTCTCCTCTCCACCTCCCTGGCAGACAGCAGATACCCTAATGCGTTGCTTCCTTGTTGCCATCTCACATGGATTGTGTTTGGTGACACGTACGTGATTCAATCAACTGTCGATGCTCATCCCCCGCACTTTCAACATCTGTCGTGGCTCGCATCCATTCTGAGCTCGCAGACTCTGTTTACAACCGCTGTTGTTTACAAGCGGACGGCCGTGGATTTCGGTCTGGAGGCGTCGTGAGTGTGTTCCTTGGTTTCCTCTGTGCATGTGGAGCGTGCGTGGGTGATTCCTGTTGCGTGAAGTTCGTTTGATTGTGCGTGAAAGACACCGGACTAGGGGCCCACTTACTCTCTGTTTGTGCTTGTGTGTATGACCTGTGTGCTGTTTCTGTTGATGGCTGACTGGATGGCAGGACGAGTATTTCGGGAAAGGAGACGCCTGAAAAGTGGCGGGCGTCTGTCTCTTTGCACAAACGACAAGACAGGTGGACTGAAAATAGTGTCAATATCCGTGTCTCTGTGCTCCCTGTCTTGCATTATGTCGTGGCCTCCCTGATGAGCACGTGCTGATGACCGGTGACCTGCGCCGTCTGTTTATGGCTGGCGAGTGGCGGGAGGTACATAAGGGCAGGCATAGCCTTCACGCGCGGCCGTCCTGCGGCGGGTCTTACTGGCGGTGAGGCCCCGGGGCTGTTCGGGCCGAAGGACACAGAAGGGCGGGCGGCAGCGCTGCGTACGACATAAGGCGGCATGTGGTGGGGAGGCGGGCCAGCAGAGCAGCTACTACTGGGCCGGGGACGTCCCCGGCAAGATGGATGGATGCCCACACCAGAAAGGGCCGGGACGACCAAATTTGCAGGACTCATAAAGGTCTGCGCTTTTGGTGCTGGGTCTGTCGAGACAATTGGTTGGTGTGCTAATGTGTGCGTGATTGATTGGCCGATGGATGGCATGAGCGTGTGTTGCTCGATATATACTTGCTGGACGAACGGACCGGTGGCAGTGTGCACCAACCATCATTGATTACGCAGTGACTTGGTCAATGACAATCCATCGATGGGTCATTGCATTGACTGCCCACGCACGCCAGCAGGATAGGGAGGGAGGCTCGTGGCACGCTGCATGTAGTTCTGTGGGTGAATACGTCTGTGTGTCACACAGTGTGTATCTGCGTCCACTCAGGAACATCCATTCGGACACGCACTCCCGTCATGCATTCATGCAGCCGTGTTACCTACAAAAAACAACTAAAAGGTTGTGCATTTCACTTACGTTGTATGGGGCGCGGTCACAAAGTCACCTGCTCTCACAGACACATTTAGACAGACAGACAGACAGACAGACAAACAGATAGCATAAGCGCAGAAATCAATGGAGACACATCAATGCTACTTACATACTTATCGTGCTCGGCAGCAGAGGTAGACGCCAAAGGCAATGGCCCCGGCCGACAGCATTACGCCACCACCGATCAGCAGCCACGTGTACTTGTGCCAGAAAGACGTCTCGGCGTTCTTGTCTGCCTGTTTCTTGGCCTGGGCGTTCAAGATGTGTTCCAGTGGGAGCTTCCGACAGCACTTGCAGCTCTTCGCCAGAGCATCTCGCGTGTAGGCTGCAGGGCGGGTTTCCCCCGTGGCGTCGTCTCCGATCCTGTACCTTCCATAGCGGGTGAGCGTGCTGTCAATTTCGTCGAGAATCGGTTTTCTGCACTCCTGCAAATGGGCTTCGTTGAGACTGGATGGAGGCAGGCATGAAAGTGACAAGAAGACACACACGTACAACAAATCCTATCATGTACCACAGGCACGGCTGGCTCACTGGCGAGGGATGCCAGCCTCCGAGTCCCTTCATGACGTCAGTGGTGATCGTGCATTCTTTGCCTCCCTTGCAGGCCTCATTCGGATCGCAGTGATTTGCTGTCGCACCAGCACAAACACACACACACACACACACACAACACACACATCAGATGTTGGCAGGACTCAGGAGACACTCAACAGCATTCGTAATGTGTCGGGTCGAAGGCTTCGGTGGCTTCGGCCTCAAGCAGGGCGGCGGGTTCGAGCTTGCTAGAGTGGCGAGGCAAACGATGACGGCCCGCTCCAACTGTGTTTACTCCATGTACACACACACATAGCCGGCAATATATACTGATAGCGCTGTCTCCCGCTACGTCGTTTCGTTCCTTACCGATGGCCTCGAGGGCCCCTGAGCGGGTCATCGGGTGCTGTTGTCGGCTGTCACGGGTGCTGCTGTCGGCAAAGGCCGTCTGCTGTGCTGCAGCATCCATGATAGCAGCAGCAGCAGCAGCAGCAGCAGAGCGTCAGACAGCAGACGGCAGACGGCATGCGGATGGAGCGCAGCGCCTGCGTACCCCGCCAGTTGCCGGTGTGCGCGGCGGCACAGAAGCTTATGAGTAGGACCGAGGCGATTACTGGCATCATATTGAACTCGGTCGGCTGATTCACTCTGCCCCACCTGGCAGTTTACGGTGGCTTCGTCTACTTCGTGCTGTTGACGTGGGCGTGTGAACCTGGGCCGGATAAATGAGACACGGATAAACTCTTCGATTTTGAACTCTCCCTGGGGGCTGGTGGGGCCCCCCGCGTCTCCCCAGCGTGCGGTGCTAGAAACTCCTAGGCCTGCTCTTGTGATCGGTGGATGGGATGAGGGCCCCTGCCTTTGCTTGCAGCGAAATGATATGTTCTGTTGGTGAGTTAATCTGTGCAGGGAAGCGGCGCCGAAGGATGGTTCTCCGGCTTTTTGCAGCTTTCTCCCTTTCCGTCGTGGTCCAATGTGAAGCGGCGGTGGACCAATGGACGGATGACGGCGCGAACAACTGCAAAGGGACAGGGTGGCTGCCGCTTTAGTGATGTCTCCCTCCGTTTGTACCGACCACATCTTGTCATCTCGTCTGTTCTTTGAAAATGTGCGAAGATTGAAAACGTGCAGCGGGAGACAGCGAAGCATTTGAGAAAACGCCACACACGCCGCCACGGATATGTTCGTCTTATGCATTCATGGGATTGATGAAAGTCATCCATCAGCAGAGAGCACACTAAGCTGCTCATAGAAGGCGACCATTCAGGCACACACGACTCGAGACTACACGCTCCGTCTTCCCTGTGAATAAACACTCACACAGGGCGTCCCAGCCAGATACTATCTGGCAAGCAGACCGTCACCTTGAGGGACAGGCAGGCAAGACAAGGCCAAGCTACTTCGTCCAGTACACCAGCCTGCCTGGCTCCTGCCGTACACACACAGACCAGCATCCCGCCAGCACCAGTCCAACAGACAGATAGGCGCGCACGTCCCCTATCCGCCCGCCCCTAGGTCGTCAACAACTGCTGCGTGCTTGTCTCCTCGTCCTCTGATTAGCATTTCAGGCTCTCTGAGCTGGCTATCGTCCGATACTCTCAACAAGAGGCTCATACGGCAGGAAGGTCCGGCTCGCGATTGGAGTGGAACGTCCAGGGCAAACTTTTGCATTTTCCAAGCATCGGAAAATGGAGCGTATATCTCACCACTCATGTGAAGGGAAGGATCTACCTCCAACTGAACGCAGGAGCGCAGCAGGGATGGCATGATACCAACACCTGTTCGCCAACGTACCTCTGTGATTGATGCATATGTGACGCCCCATCGCGGGAACTGCACTCCAGGGGCGAGGCAACGTGTTAGGTTACACACATTGCAGTTGTGGGCCACGAGCAGCACTGTGTCATCCGGGTGGGCAGCCAGGATGGCCCTCATCACCTACAGGCAAAGAATGTATACAACCGGAGACCACACAGATATACGTTTGCTCGCTCTCTCGTGCATGCCCACCTTCTGGCACCTCATGTAGAAGGCTTCATCCTGAACATACATACGACGTTATGCGCAAATACGAATGATTGCACATCATCACTACCTGTGGCTGTACTGCTGACCCACCTCACCGTTTCTGGGAATGCGGGCACGTCCGTCTTGGTTTTGTGCTGAGGATCGATAAGCGGCAGGGTCTTGATGAGCTGCGATGGGGCCAACATCTTGGGCATGGGGTCACCGCCACCCTCAGCAGCTGACCTGAAGACGTTTGATGCAATTGATGCAAACAGACGGGTCGGAACACAGGCCATGATTGACGTGTCGTTCCCACCGTTGTGTTCTCTACGTACCTTTGTGCGAGTCCCGGTTCGATGCAGACGCGCACTGTGCCGCCCAGAGCTGTTGCCGCGCTGTGCGCAGTGCACACGCAACGGATGTAGGGAGAGCTGTAGATCACAGAGATACCTGCAGCAATATATGAGAAAAGCAAGAATGCCTGCTTCATGCCTGAATATACATACACACATGTCTTCCTTACCCTTGCCCCGCAGCGCCATTCCCATTTCGTAGGCCTACACCAAGCACACACACAGACAGGAAGAGCGACGTTGCCCTGAGAGCCATCCGCCTCTTGTTCATTTTACGCAGTACCTGTCGGTGGCCACGTGCAGTGAGCAAGATATCTTCGGGCACAGCAGACGTGGTCGGCTCGACGTGGTCGATGCGCTCGCCGTGACGGCAGAGGAAAAGGCGAGGCATGGTCCAACCCAATGCCAGGTCCACAAACGAGCGCTAACGGCCACGATTCGGAAGCCATCCGGCCTGCCTCCGTTTCTTCCGTATGCGATGATGTCTTGCGCCAGCTGCTTGATCTCGCCGTCAGCCCGGGGCGTGGCCATCTTGATGGACTCGTGCAGCACATCCGTGAGGCCGGCCGCCGTCAGCACCAAATCTCAGGTCATGCAGGTGCGATAGCGAAAACGACCCATCGACGGCCTCACCATCTTCTCCCTTTCGTTTCTTGGGCCGCCTGGTGCTCCTGCTCACAAAGGCGTAATCATACTGCGTGTGTGTGCTTGTCTGGCTGTCCGTGTGGGTGTCGGCGAAAATGCGAGCTTGTAGTGGATCGCGTTCATCCGGCAGACTCTGCCTGGCGTTGCGCTATACTTGAGCCCAGACAAAATGATGATAACGGCTGTCCTTCTGCTGGTTCTGCTCGGAAAGAGAGCCACCGTGGTGACTGCCCAATGTGAGTAGGGGCCAAAACATGTCGTGACGATTCTGTCCACGTGCACTAGTCTGTGCTCGTGTGCCGTCCTGTGTTTCATTTGTCAGCCCCCCCTGCGACGAATGAGGCGGGCTTCAGAGCGCTGTTCGGTACTTCTGACTTCGTCGCGCCGACATGTGCCTCAACGAAGACGGTCACAAATGCAGCTGATTCTGGGGTTGGCACACTACGAGAGGCACTTGGGATGCTTGAAGCGCAACAGCCCGACACAGAAGCGACCATCCGCTGCATTCGCATCGACTCCAGTGTGACCCAGATCGTCCTGCAAAGCAGTCTCATCTTCAAGGGGCGCAATGTCTACTTATTCGCTGAAGACATCAGCAATCCGGACTCTTTCCCTGTTGTGAAGGCCCCAGATAGAGCTGAGCTGCTCATTGCAGAGGGAGCCAATGACTTCACCATTGCTGGCATTCGCATCACCAACAAAGGCGCAGATCGGAACTATGACGCGCCGCGTCAGGTGATTCTTCTCAAACCGAACCGACAGTCGAATATCAAGGCAAGTGTGGCCTTCTATCGAGTATCCATGGAGGAGTGCAGCAACCCGGATGAAGGATGGTTTTCAGCAGTGCGCATTGAGAAAAACTACGCATCTCAGACGGATAGCATTGATGTCTCGTTCTGGGAATCGGCTTTCCACGGAAACGAAGGGAGCGTACTTGAGTGTACTTCGTCAGGATCATATTCTCCCATCAGGAGGGTCACTCTGAAGAAAACCTTGGTTTATGGAAATCGGATATATGATGGCCCCGATACTACAATTTATTACGCTATGGTGAATCTCCTTCAATGCGGTGCAGCCATTAATGATACAACATTCGACAGCAACGAGGCTTCGGAAGCCGATTGCGGCACTGCGCCGATCTTGAGACTTGGAGGCCTCGAGCAGTCCGAAAGAGTGGTCGTCTACGAATCGACTTTCCAAAACAACCACATAAAAGCACAATGCGGGAGCGAAGAGCACGTGATCGTAGTTTCTTACAACGTCAAGAGCGTGACAATCGAGAAGAGCATCTTTGTTGGCAATACTCGAGAATCTATTGGCCATGGCCGAGTGACATCTTATGACGGGAGTGCGCTCAAAATTACCAACATCCACGGTCATACTAAGAGAGTAATACACGGTACTGCTCTTTGATGTTCGAATGTATGTTCTTTAGCTGATGTCGTCGTTACCGATTGCATCTTCCAAGATAACAGGCCGGGAGCTATCTACATTTACCGGCAATACGGAAATCAATATCATGGACAACGCGGCGCGGTTATTATCAGGGGATCAACATTTATGGACAACGCGGCGCTGAGCAGCGATGATGTTGACGACGCGAATAGCCGCTGTGCGCTGTATATACATTGGTATCGTCATGTTGAGGTCGTGGACAACTGTTTCGTGGAAAACGAGCTCACAACAATGATACACGCGATCGACCGGAATGAAGGCCGCCTCGATACTGAGACATTCACCCTCAGCGGCAATGGGCTCGTACCAAGGGCAGTGGGTGGCGAATCAGACGTCTTGTATAAGTTTGAGAACCCGAACCAGTACTACGAAGGCATAATCATCGGTACAAATGAACAGAAGTGCGCCAACGTATGTGGCAATGGACTAGTGATGCCCGGCATTGAGGAGTGTGATGATGTCGGAACACCTGACAGCCTTGCAACACCAGAAAACGGCGATGGCTGTAGTGCGTCGTGTACGATCGAAGAGGGGTGGGAGTGTAACAATCTGGAAACATTCGATGATGACGGAGAACGACCTTTACTGCACACGTGGGTGAAGGCATACAGAAAAGGAGAAAAATGAGACACGATGCTTGTGATATAAGTTGGATTGTTCTCTCGTTGGGCTCTCTTGCAGCTCGGCCAATGATCCCCACCCTCAGTACCGACACTTTTAGCACTCGAATCTTGCCTTTCACAGTGGGAATTATCCTTTCCGAGCCAGCCAAATCTGGCACTTTTGAGGCCGGTGATATTGCACTTTCTGGTGCTGCTGAGGCGTCTGTTACTTCTCTGCAAACTGTCTCCAATCAGCACTTCACAGCCAATCTGGAGCCAACTAGCGGCGGCAGTTTAAGTATTGAGCTGACAGCCGGCAAAGTGGAGCTGCACAATGTGCCTGGCCATTTCAACGAAGATTCCAACGTCTTGACCGTCACAATCGGTGGGTGCACATGTAGAGAGACGAGAGGTAGGGCATGAGTGTGGACGCGTTGTGGTTTTCTAGATTCAACCAGACCGACTCCCGTCTTAGCAGCACCAGCGGCCTCTCCTGATCTTATTGTGGAAAGTGACCCTTTCATTGTGACAGTGATCTTCGACGAGGCTATCAAGACTTCTACACTTACACTCAGTGATTTTAGCGTCACGAACGCTTCCGTGGTCAGCGTGACTGAGACGGGGGCCTCCAGCGACACCTTTAGCATTGGTGTAGCACCGGATACAGAGGGAGGGGTACAAGTGCAGCTCCCAGAAGGCAAAATTGAGGACCTGGTCGGCAACCTAAACGCGGCCTCAAACGTCTTGGTAGTTACCTACGGTGGGCATAAAAGCAGACACGTACGTACATACTTTGTGTCTCGCTTCTTCATGTATTACATGCGCTTCTAGAAATGCCGCCAACAACCATTCCGCCGCCAAAAGCTGAACCTCCCACCACTACGGAAGATGCAGCCCTCCCGCCAGGTCTTCTTTCTCGCATCCTGGCAAAGAAAAAGCCAAATGCCTACCTGCTTTGTACGTGCCATGCTCAGGTGGAGGCGATGGGCCGCCAGACGGCGAGAATGGTGTGCCGCCAGAAGGAGAGAATGGCGAGGCGATAGGTCAGATCCATCAATCGGCCCACCTGTTGGCAATGCACCCGGTGTCTTTTTGCAGGTCCGCCCGATCCGTCAGATGGAGAGACGCTGCCGCCTCTTCCGCCAAACATACCCTTTGATCAGGTGGAGATTTCGTCAGGGAGCTCAGATGGCGATCCAGCGGAAGGTTGCCAAATGTCCTACTCAGCAGCAGGAGGTGATCACATGCATCCATGCATACGTCAAATGCTCTTTTGATTGTCGCATTATTTACTCATTTGTTGCCAGATGTGCGTTTGGCCTGTGCCGACTCAGAAAGCAGGAAGTTCATTTCTCTGGCCGAGAGCAGCGTGATCGTGCACGTCGAAGGCTCGAGACATGATGACACTTTGAGGGGCAACAGCCAAGACAACACTTTGGTTGGAGGCGATGGAGCGGACACACTCGATGGGCGCGGAGGCGTCGACCAGCTCGCTGGCGGCAGAGGTGCTGACACCTTTGTCGTCTCGGATGTGCCGTGTGATGTGACAATTCTCGACTTCGACACCGGCAGCACTCACGATCGGGTGAACCTTGTCAGCTTCGCCTCACTCACGAAGATGAGCGATCTACAGGAGAGAATGACCAGCGGCAGCGTGATCCTCGACCTCGATCCGAGCCACAGAGTGCGGATCCTCCACCGGACACTTCAGGAGATTTTCGACCCCAGATACTTCCTGTTGACTAGTGAGCTCGAGACAGAGGGCGTGGCGAAAGACGAGGAATGCGGCTGGTTCACCTACAGCCGACCTGAATGTGTCGATACAATCCTTTCCATCGTATTGGGCATCGTCGGTGTGGCCGGCCTGGGTATTGGGACATGGCAAGTCGTCCATAACTTTTTGAGGCGGGGCCAGAATCCGACACCAGAGGCGGGAGAGAAGCCGACAGAGAAGGAAGAGGGGATGGATCACCGGAAGCGATCCATATCTGACACTCGAGACAGCCGCAAAAGGAGGTACCTTGAGACCAAAACCGAGCGGCGAGTCTTGGGAAGCGACTTTGTCCAGGGCCTGCAGGAGGAAAAGCCATCAGGAGATGAGAGCGGGTCGCGTGGAAGGGTGGAGGACGCTGCTGCGTCTGACCTTTCTTTTCTGTCGTACTTATAAGACAATTTTTTTTGCGTGTCGGTCATCAGACAGGTTTTTGCACTTCTCATATGTGTCAAGTCTGATGCAAAAACCTGTCACTATTGCCTAATCTGAATCCCTCATGCTAATCGATCGATGGCTATGCTATCTGTGTCTCTAACATGATATTCTATATTTCATCGCCGCCCGCCGGCAGATCCGGGAGGGAGAGGAGCGGCACAAAGAGCTGCTCGATTAAAAAAAGCAACACTGGCTGCTTATTCACACTTCTCTCTCCCTTTCTCTCTCTCTCTCTCTCTCTCTGTGTGTGTGTGTGTGTGTGTGTGGATGTCAGAGTTGGGTGTGTTGTGTTCGTTGGCTTGTCGGGCGGATGCCGTGGAGGCGCACGAGAAGAGCTTCATCGAGAATGCATCCGCGGCCCTCCACGATCCGCGCACCCAGAGGGACCGACAGATGGCCAGCCTCAACAAACAACATCACGCACAAATCAAACCACTCCAGCAGCAACACAAC